CCGAGTTGAAAGTTGCGGACAAGTTGCTGCGGACACACACACACACAAACACACACAGACAACCCTGTAACAATATGCGTTTTGTTCTGCTGTTACACAGCACAAAACGCATAAAAATATTGGTGGCGGCAGTAGTAACACGCTAATAATAATGATAAAAGTAGGTAATAACAATGACGAAAGTGACAATAATGGTAACAATAATAGTGGCCTGAAGACATAACAATAGTAATAATAATAACAATAAAAAATAAAATTTATAATAATAAATAATTATAATAATAAATAATAATAACAATAATAATAACAATAATAGCAACAACAACAACAACAACAATAACAACAATAATAATAATAATGCTAAAATACTTGTTATTAAAAACTAATAGTACCAAAATAATAATAGGTGTTATGGGATTATAATAAAATAATAATAGCAAATAACTCTCCTATTCTGTGCGGGTACAAATTTCAGTGTAATTGCATGGTCAGCAGTGGACGCCAGTGCCAGTCAGTGTGATCCTCTGACGAGCAATGAAACGGATGAGTTCGAAAGTGAAGCGAAACGGAGGCGATATGAGTGGGGAACTGCGAAGTTCGCATTCGATGTGCTGGCTAGTGATAAAATTGGTCCTCGTCGTAATTTGCCACCTGCACATCACCATCTGTGAGTCACCTTTTTTGCAGTTTACGTCCGTGTTCTAATTTGATATATTTTGAGAGTTACAGTTATCCAAGACTCTCCGAGCTCTTAGTGTAATTATTCCCACATTAGTGATGTTACTGGGATGTTCATATACGTCGAGCGCTACTATGCCAAGTCCTTCGATTTTCGTTTTCAGTTATTAGTTACCGAAAAATATTCTTGGGTTTTCATCGTTTATTTTTAATGCTGTCTTATTTTTCGTACAATATTGTTTACTTCAACTAACATATACTTTTACTACTATGTTAATATTAATTTGAATTTGATTTAAACCAACTACAATTACCACAGTCGTCGTACTGACGATGTCCAATTGTGGTAATGGTAAGAGATGTATACACGAATTAATTGGGCAGAAACATTTCTTACCGTTATAATAATTCTAATAAAATAATTCTACTGCTTTTACTAATTCCTTAATATTATTTTCTCTTCTGTTCTTCTTCCCACTTCAAAATATTTTTCTATTTAATTACTGATTACTGCGGAAAGTTTCTATGTTTTGTAGCTTTATGACTACTTTGGCCTACTATGTTTCTTTTTTTTTTTTTTAAGTTAGATTCGTATTTTTACTGATTTTGCAACCACTGCCACTCAGCTGATAGTAAGGAATGTAGTTTTCAGATGTGAATCTGTGCCCTGGGCTATCAAGTTACGAGCAAGTATTGTGATAATTTACCACAACGAAGCACTTTCGGTGTTGATCCGCATGCTCAACAGTATCTTCGATCGAACGCCATCACATCTAATTGAGGAAATTATCCTTTACGATGACTGCAGTGACTATGATACTTTGCTCGTCAATCACATCAACAGTTACGGGAAGCATGTTCAATGGCCAATGCAAAAGATCGTAACACGTCGAAGTGAACAACGATTAGGGCTTATTAAAGCTAAGGTTAGACTCAGAATTATGAGGGATAATCAGTTTATCACTTTTCTGGACGATCCCAGATTTCGCTACAAGTTAGCACCTTAATAAAATCAACATTTCTGGCATGAAATGGTAAGACCGTCGATGAGATTCCAGAAAAAACTGGATAAACACTGACAAAATTATTATACTTTGACAGATCAACTGTAAAAGTAATTGTGGATGAAAGTGAATAAAAATAAAGTAATTCGTATGTAGGAATAGTAATATATATATATATATATATATATATAT